CTGATTGTCTTTTTTGAATGATTATTTTTGTTTGTTGGTGTTTGCACTCGCAATTTTCAGAACAGACTCTTGTCTCAGACATTGACCAAACTAGAGAAATACAAACGGCTTCTCCAGTGGCTAGTGAATCTTAAATTTTGACATGGTAAGTGCTTTTTCTTAATTTCATTAATTTCGAGTTTATGCTAATGAATGGCAGTTAGTTTTCATCTTAATAAGCACCAATGGTTGTACTTTTATTTAATGAATAACTTAACTAATTACCAGCAACACCTGGCGCTACATCTTGAAAGATATAGAAGAGTGTCCAAGACAAGATATATTGTCAGGATGCGGGAGGAACAAAAGCAAGGAAGGGTTGTAACCGTTGGAATCTCGGTTCTTCGTTAACACTCACCTGATGGAGCCATATCTGCCATCCTTATTTTCATGAAGTTAATGATGGGGGCACTAATTTTCATTTCCATGTCATCGGTCAGCCATGCCTTATTTTAAAGGCAGAATCGACAGCAGCTATGTGATAGATATAGTTTTTGAGCTCTTGTTTCCTTCCCACTCATCAAAACTGTACTCATTTATCATTCTGAGAAGGATGAAAGGCAATGACCCCGAGCGCGGCTCGTACTTTTCCGTTCATGGTCTAACACTCTACTGACTGAGTAACTCAAGTTTGAAACAACGTATGGTAAGGAAATTCACAGATGAGCAGACATGAAATCAGCATCAGCACATTACTGTCTCAGAAAGCGTTGGAGAACTACTTATACTGTGCGTCGATCTGTTTTCCTGCATCAAGGACGCAGAACTTTGCAAGGAGCCAAATCTATTCGGGGCGTCATATTCTCTCTAATAAAATGGATATCCGGAGTTACTCCCTAAGAAATATGGATCGGAGGGCAGCAACTTCGCTGATTGGTGGTTTACTTTGCACTTTAAAGGGGCGGGGTTTCAATTCCCGGCCTAAAATTTTCATATGAACTGTGAATTACATTGAGCAAGGAATTCAGTCTCGTGTGTCGTCGCAGGCAACTCAGAAACTTGTAGCAAGTGGTTGATTTACGAATAATATTGATACATGTTCTGGCATGGTAATATCAGAGCTGGCGTGGCTTATGACCATTTGTGTGTCCTATGCTTTCCGATGTGTGTGCTTTGCTGCTGCAGTTCACCTTGACCTACCTAATAGTTGAATTTGATCAGCGCAAGGTGTAAACTTAAAATGGAAATTATGAAGACCGTTGATATTGACAGTAGCTCAGATATCTAAACGGATCTCAAACGAATTCGTTGTCGTAAACGAGTGAAAATTGGCCATGTATTGAGTCCTGACTCAAATTTGATGGTTTATTGATGTTAAGGGAAATGCAAGTTCTGTCGTATGGCTAGCGGAGGTTTGACTTTAAAGTTGAATGTCCAGATTTCTGAGTCAAAGAATATCCCCAGCGGTAGCATTCTGCCATCAGTTACGTTGCTGTCAGACTTTTGCACTGCGCATTCAAAGTTTATATGCTCTATGTTCTGACTTTCATGGTTGCAGTCACCGTGCATAATTGGACTGAACTGATTTTCCAGCGGTGGAGAAGGTGTCTCCTGCACCATTTTCCGGTTCATTTGTCTATTTTCTCGTAATTTGGCATTTAACTGTTGATAGTTTTTTATTCATTTCAGATGACAAATTGAATGTTACCTTGCGATCTTTCTTAATGTTTTTAAATGCCAGACTATGTGTTATTTTATTTCTAGACTGGAGTTTTCGTACAAAGTTCGGTTGGCCTACAACTAGACCGTGATGATGGTAACGATGAGGTAATACAAATGAAAGTATATTTCGGTTGTTGTTGAAACTGGTCAGTAATTTTGTATTATGTTTTGCATCACGGTGTTGAAATAAAAGCTCGTGTTGTCTGCATTCGGGTCGGATTGTAATAAAATGTTTTAATCTTCGTTTTTCTTACAACTTGAACTTGCGCGTGATACGCCGTGGATGTTCTGCCATTGTCGTGTCTGAAGAGCAACAACGCAATTGGCTTTTCTGTTCTTATTATAATTCAGATCAGACCACTAATCTTGACGCTGTCCTTGACCCTAATGTCTCAGATGACGACGGCAACAACGTTGTTCGAATCGTTGCCTAATTTAAAACGTTTTGTTAAAAACTGGTGAGTGATTCTGATCTTCCGGTTAGAAACTTAGACCGGTGCGTTTTGGCAAAGGTGCTGTGTCAACGACATGCCTGTTCTTAGCGAATTTATTTCTGCTTCCATTGAAGCCATTGAAAATAAGCGGTGCGTCATATTAATTGTTACAACGGTTCGTTTTATTTTTGTGCAACTCCGTAAAACAGCTGACAGATTCAGACAATTCACGCTATATTACAAAATCTAATGAAGACACCGAAAACAATTTACATAAAAGGTTTTGTATCGTCTGCACTGTTTGCTTTAAATAATTGAGGTTGCTCCTGCATTTGTCTTGCTCTTCTTATAGCAGGAATTAAAATAGTGCCAGACTCTTTAGTTCGTGGAGCTACAGGAGTGATTGCCCCCTTTCGTCCGAAGATAATCGAGGAGTGAGTCGATTTCGAGTGTGATGTTGGCTGTCACTCTTCGTATTTTGTTGGCGATTTCATTTGTTTCCAGATCATCGAAACTCTTGCCGCAGAGACTAGTCAGTAGCTGCTGAGTTTCCGTGTTGGGTGTTAGGCTGCCGCTAGATTTCTCTTTTAAACGCAGTCTTTCTCTGATGTCTAAAATGTCAATGAGACTGCGGCGTTTACAGGAGCTGCTGCGGGCCCTGCGAGGTGTCGCAGTGAGATCCAAACATTGTAAGGCGCTGTTCAATTCAGACATCTCGCTCCTTATTTGGACGTAGTGTGATACAGCCTTTTTTACGATTTCGTGAATCTCCGCCACCCAAAACTTTAGTGGTAATGATAAGCTTCGTCGACATTCGTTTACGATGCTCTGTCCCCTTGCGACGGCTTGGTCTAGTTGATGCTCATTCCACAGATCTAGGTAGTTGCATGGAGACTCCAGTGATGGCCCCCATTCGACGATGGCACTCCAGTCGCTCATCAGCAGCGGTTCAACCTACAAGAAGCTTCATAATATTCTCTTAATTTGAATAATCTAAACTAAAAGATTTACGTTTATTCCGTGCTGCAACATGTACATAATAGCCTGCTTCGTGTACAAATCGCCTCGAGCCAGATGCGGATAAAGGAATCGAACCGTCAGGTTAACATCCACAGTTTTGAGCTCTTTCCGAACTTTGTACAGTAGCAGAACGAGCAGCTTCGCACAGGCCTTGTTGCAGTTGCAATCATCGATCACTTCGCAAAGCGGATTGCAATCTTGGTGGTAGCAAGGACTCTTCGAACAGTACAACACAACCTCTTCCAGGTTCACTTGATACTCCGAGATCAGCTCCATCAAAGCAGTGAATAGTTGCTCCTCAGGATGGAGGTCTGATTTAGACTCATGGTGAAATTCGATGCGATTCACCCATCCACCTCCGAGTAGTGTCACTATTGCCGCCGTGGTTTCGTTCTTTTGCCCCATAAAGCACTGTTTCGTGTTCTTCGTCACCGCAAAGCTGGACGACGCGTTCTTACAAACTGCCTGACACGCACAGTTAGACGTGCAGAATCCATAGCCTTTCCTGCAGGTACATTCGCCGTTGGTGCATCCTTTTTTCGTATCTGTACAACCGCAAGCTGATGGTGGTTTCTTTTTCACCATTATGCCTTCCTGCTTCTGGATCTAAATGAATTTTTTTTAAATTGATCTAAGAAATTTCTCAAATTCGATATGGCTACACTATAAATGAATATGTTTATTGTATTGCCTTCATTTCTACGTGATAAAGCAGCGTAACCGTTATGAGGTCGCGTTTCTTCGTTTCGCTGGTGCCATTTAGAGCCAAGTAATTTACAGTGTACTTTTAATGCCGATTTTTAGTCAGATATCAAAGGTTATGGAGAATTGCAACCGTAAGTCATAGCGTTACATGAGATAACTGTATCTTTACACGTTCTGACTAGAATACTGCTATTCCTATTATTCGCTGGTCCGCGATCTGCTAGTCGTTTCTTGATTGCTCTGAAGCAGTGTTGTGAATTTTTTGCTCAGGGGAGTTATATAGGGTGGTTGTAACAAAATTATGACCAATTACTTGTGCTGGGATTTCACTCGAATAGCGTGTAGCACACTGTCTATCCACTATGTCGTTGCCCTTTTCTTTCATGGAGTTTGTGATTTGCCACTGATCTGCGCTTCGATACCATCACAAAGAATGCCTTTTTTGTGAAAACTATTTCTGCATCCATGTGAAGAACACTTCGTATAGTTTTCTTTCCTTGTCACGAGGTGGTTCTCATTATTTACTGCATTGGAAGGTTAAATGGCAAGTGACTCATCCCAGGTTCGATGTTTCGATGTAAGTTTGGCGCTCTGCCAATTAAACGGTCCCAATTACAGGATAAGGAAAATAACTGAATCACTCACAATTTAGTAGTTCTTACTATTGGTTCCAGCCAGAAATTCCTTCCATTGATCCAGTAGAGTTGGCGATTAAGGGACGGAAAATTGGACGAGTGCCAGCAGTTTGTGCTCTCTCAGGGAGGATGAGACACGAATTCGTAATTGACTGATTCATGAAATGAATAATTGCTCATTAATTCCCTAATTTTGTCTTTCGCTTGATGGCCCGGAGAGCAAGGTCACTGCGGCTTGTCTCTGAAAATCAATAGGCAGTTTAGTTTCTGTTATGAAAGGAAACGTAATCATCGTTTTGCGTAAATTTAAACAGTTCAGTTTTTTAATGTTGATGCCTCAGAATTATAGCTGTGAAAAGAACCTTGTTATTTTTAGTTCGTTGGAAAACCGTTTAATAATTGATTGGTCCCTCCCTTCGATGTTTTTACTGTCTCCCGGGGTTCCTCTGACTTCTTATAGTTCAATTTGCT